AGAATCTTGAAAAATCTTGATGCTGGGCGTGTCTGAAGCTTGGCGGCCAACAACCAATCACATGAATCTCCCGCCCCCGACATACAAAGCAATAGCAATGTTAAAACGAAGTAAACTGGATATAAACTCTCCAAACAGGCGAAAACCTACCAGTTTCACCCACTGTCTCTGCCACCTCCCTCCATGCCTGGTTCCTCCGGTTTGTATCCCGGTAAATAGTTCTGGTCGTAAAGAACCGGGTGATTTGCTACCGTAATTTCTCGTTTGGAATATGAGGAAATGAACTGCGGTCTGGCTCTCCCAGCTTGCACGCGGTTTGATTGGCTAGCGCTTGTACTGGCGGGATTTGCATAAACGGGATTTGATTGGCTGATGCCAGCTTCGAAAGCATCGGGAGCATCAAAAGTTGAACATTGCTCAACTTTTGATGCTCACGATGCTTGCAAAGCCATGCTCCGCTCCCCACAATGCAGTTCGGCGAAGATTAAAAATCTTCTACGTCACCCCATTCAAGTGAATGGGCGAAGCTTTGAAAGATTGTTTTCATGCCTGTGTGTGGACGGGCTGTTAGACTGAAGCTGAGCAAGGCCACATATCACATATATTGCTTTTGCACCAAGGCAGTTCAAGGGCTGCTTAGGAGTTGGAGATAGAAACAGAGCCTCATTTAAAAAAAACTTTTAAGGTTTCAACTGCAGAGGTGCTGGCTCTGTTGCCCCGAAAACTGGTTCAACTCGGGTACCAACTATTTGATAATCCGGCACAGAAAGACTTACATCGTAGGCTTGGACAGGATTTACTTGAGGAACAACAGTTCATGGCGAGTAGGACAAAGAGTAGAAACGTATAGAAGTATTAAGTTGTTCTTGAAGAGTAGAAAGTTGTAGGGGGAAAGGTCTAAAGTTGTTCTTGAAGAGTAGAAAGTTGCCAGAGAAGTTGTGCTTGCAATGAAGTCTCTCTTCATTGTGGCGTTCCTGGTTTGAAGCAATGACGTAAACGATGATTCTTCTTTACGTGCCGTCTTTCGGGCTCTTATCGCTGAAAGGAGGGAAGTTTGCAAATTGAACCAAGAGTTGCCCCAAAAAGGACCTCAAACGGATCTCAGTTTAGTGGAAAAAGGGGTAATAGTGTGTCAAACAATTATACCTTTTACTTTGAACACACAAAGAATCCCTCACCCCTCCCATCCTTTTATCTCTATGCGACATGTTTGTCTGGAAATGGGACGCCACCAACAGAGCTCATTTTAGTGGATAAGTGGTAATACTGCATCGACTATGAAGCTTAAATTGTGTCTCATGTGAAGATATGAGCCCAAAAGCTCCTCCTGTCTTGTTGTGCTTATCAAACAAATATACCTTTGCTTCGACCTCCCAAAGAATCCTCACCCCTCCCATCCTTTTGTCTCTATGCGACATGTTTGTCTGGAAATGGGACGCCTCTCTTGTGCCTCCATTCTTCTCCCTGACCCTCTTTTCCCCGTCGCCGGTGTTCATTCCTGTGGACAGAGCAGCCGGTGGAATGAGGTCATCTCTTTCCCGGCTTTCCAAACCATGCTGTGCTAAATTCTTCACGCTGAGTCACTGTCGCGCTGTCACAGTCGTCCGAGCGGCACATTTACCCCGTACTTCACCATGGATACCTACGTTTGAATGTGTGTGTGCGACCAAAATAACCTTCCCCCTGGGAACTCAGATAGAGGTGTCTCTTTGTGAGTGGCAGTGGTTAAGGCGACAGCAATAACAGAATGATAGAGTGGTGCAGGAATGAGTCCTAAAGCTTATAAATGAGACATCATTTTAGCACTTCCTGGTGTTTTGAATGTTTGAATGTTAGTCTGAAATAAGGTCTGTGGTTAACACAAGATTTTAACGTTTTGTTCTACGATATAAAATACATCAGTAAATACAACACTGGTGTATTTAACGGTGGTTGCTAACAATTGTCTGAATGAGACGACTAAATATCATCACGCCCAACATTAGCCTCCTTTAGCTTAGCGGTGGTGACGTGAAGTCATGTGACCGTGCTGTAGTTCCTTTATAGCCCAACATTAGCCTCCTTTAGCTTAGCGGTGGTGACGTGAAGTCATGTGACCGTGCTGTAGTTCCTTTATAGCCCAACATTAGCCTCCTTTAGCTTAGCGGTGGTGACGTGAAGTCATGTGACCGNTACTTCGTTACTGTACTGAAGTACATTGTTCTGGTATCAGTACTTTACTCCACTACTTATTTTTCTGACGGCTTTCTACTTTTACACTTTAACCCAAATACCTGTACTTTCTACTTCTTACATGTTGAACCCAAATACCTGTACTTTCTACTTCTTACATTTTGAACACAAATACCTGTACTTTCTACTTCTTACATGTTGAACACAAATACCTGTACTTTCTACTTCTTACATGTTGAACACAAATACCTGTACTTTCTACTTCTTACATGTTGAACTCAAATACCTGTACTTTCTACTTCTCTCATTTTCCAAACAGGCTGGTTCCTTTAGTCTGAATGTGTGTTTGGTGGCGTGATCATTATTATTTAGAGTCATTGCGTGCCTATTGATTTGAACACGATCCGTGTATCCATCATTTCCTGGTCTTCTCTAAAGAAGAGGGACCAATGAAAACGTTGTCATGTTGCCGTTGGTCACCATGGAAACATTCATTAGCTAACAATGACATTATTGTTCTATTAATATAAAGGGAGGTCAGGTACTCTTTAAAACAGCTGCTAGTTATGGGTACTTTTTACTGAAGTACATTTCAAAGCCCTCTTTACTTTTACTTGAGTAAAGAAGTTTAGTCAGTACTTCTACTTTCACCAGAGTATTTTTAAACACGAGTATCTGTACTTCTACTGGAGTAAAGGATGTGTGTACTTTTGCCATCTCTGCTGCTCCATGACCAATACAAATAATTGTTTTTTATTTATGTAGCACCCGAACATGTTTGGCTAATTGAAAGCTTATGTATCAGCACAATATCTTTCTCATCTCTCTCACCAGCTGATCCACCTGGCTGCTGCTGCAGACGAACAGCCGCTCGTTGAGTCCCATCGCCGTGAAAACTGCAGACGCATCCAGCTTTAACTGAGCTCTATCTGTGTAAAACATATACAAAAAACTCATTTCAGGGCAGAAATTGGCAACGATATGAAGCTCTGCATGCTTTATTCTAACAATTTTACACGACCGGGCATTATACATTTAAAAAATCTCTGCACATTTGAAGAAAATGCAAGATTTGTCTTAAATATCTGAAGGAGAAATGGACGAAAACTCATTAAACAAATGGAGAAAAAAGGACAGAACAAAACTGATACACTAGTTCAACAGTGAAAAAACAAATAATGAGCAAACCAATAAAAAAAGGTAAAAACAAGACACAATAAAAAAAAACAAGGAAAAGGATCAATCCATGAATAAAAAAAGTTTAAAAAGCTAGAATAAAAAATTATAATAAAATGAGTTAAAAGAAGTTAGTCAAAAATATAAATACATATAAAAAACGATGAATAAAAATTATAAAAAATATCAAGAATGTGCACTTGTGCTTCCGAGAGCGTACCTCCCGATGAGTTCATTTTGACGAGAACGTGATCTCCTCCAGGTTGCACGGTTGCTGACATCACTTCCTGTACGGACGCGCTGACAGGAAGCATCAGAGTGAGCGGCCTGTAGTCCGGTCTGTAGATCTCATACAGAACTGCAGAGATAGACAACATGTCAGGATGTAATCATCTCATCAATTGTGATTAAGTATAAAAACTAACCCACAAATACATGAGCCGATTGTCATTTTGAAAATAGTGAGTGGTGCAGGAATGAGTCCTAAACCCTGTCTGGATGTTCAATGGTTTGTTTTGTTTTTGAATGTGTTTGTTATCTTGAAATAAGGTCTGTGGTTAACACAAGAGATTTTAACTTTTGTTCTAAGTAATAACATACGTCAACAAGTGAACTACACTAACAAGTGTCTAAATGAGACGACTAAATATCATCACGCCCAACATTAGCCGCCTTTAGCTTAGCGGTGGTGACGTGAAGTCATGTGACCGTGCTGTAGTTCCTTTATAGCCCAACATTAGCCACCTTTAGCTTAGCGGAGGTGACGTGAAGCCATGTGACCGTGCTGTTATTTTAAGCCCCACATTAGCTAAGATATAACACTATAAAGGTCTATTGAATTATCAAAAAATGTAATATAATGATATTGAATCATTTATGTAAATTACGTTTTCATCATTAAAAAATAATAAAATATAGAAAGTCAGATGAAAGCAGAACATGAAAATGGATCATCCCTTGAAGATGATAGAAAAATATACCAATATCACTATAAAAAGGAAGTTATAAATAACAGTGTTTGAGGTGTTGTTGATGTACACAGTTTTTACTCACCTTTATCCTGCGCTCTGATTGGCTGTAACCTCCCCACCGGCTCCTCACAGTTTGAAAACCAATCAAACTGCTGATTCTATAAAGAGTGACTCAGAGAATCAGTGGCAGTCAAGTGAGAAATTACATTAGCGTGACATTTTCACAGTTTTCTCCTTCATGCATATCTCTGATGTTAATTTAAACTCACCCTGCTCAGAGACTGGTATCCATTCTCCTGTCTGTGAAGATATCAGAGGAGAAAAAACACTTTGAGATGACAGGCTGCAATATGCATTACTTTATAATGTCCTTTAAATATCAGATTTGATAAAGATAAAAGAGATAATTTACACTTTTGTTCTCCTCCGGTCTCTAAATTGATCTTTCAGCATGCTGGTCAGACGATAGTCAACGGCCACCTCCTTCTTCAACCTCTGTTTACAAAAATATTTTAAAAGCAATAAAATCATTATCTGTTTGTCTCATAAAAAAAAAAAAACATAACATTTTAAAATGAAATGTTACAGAAGTGATTGCTACATAAAATGGTCAAATTTTAATAAGGCTGCAATGAAAAACAATTAGCATGTTTTAAAGTGGATTTTTTTCACATTATTATGAAATACAAAGTTATGAAGGTATACAAAAATGTTCTGTTTTAAATAACATTTCACATCAAAATTCAGGATCTCGCCATGTCTCAACCCAAGCATGAGGTAGAATTTACTCAAATAAAATCGTGTAAAAAAGCCAATGCGTTCTCTCTAATGTCCAGCAGGGGGCAATACAAATGAAGTACGATTGTACAGAAGTTTAGGAGAAGATGTTCCTACTTTTCTCTTGATTAATTACCACAGATTGTATAGAAGTCTATGAGAACATTTGCCTACTTATCACTTGAGTTAATCCCTTAGCTTAGATTGTTTAGAGATCTACGAGAAAATTAGGCTATTTCTCTCTTGATTTATTAACTCAGATTTTATTTTATCTTACAACTTTGATCCAGTTCCAGATTTCACATTGAGTCAAATACCAATAGGTAAACACTGAATACATCCCCTTGTTATTTACATAAAGAAGTACAATTTCTCAGGGTAAAACGTTAAAAAACCCATCTTGTTTTAATAAACTTCCCATAAGGTGATACAGATCACCTCTCAGTATGCTCCTGTACAAATCGTAAATAATCCAATACACAAAATAAATAAATCTCACCTCCAGAGAGTCCATAGCGATGGAGTCTTCTTTCAGCAGGAGTCCGTACAGCGCCACCCACTGGCCGATCAGCTTCACCACCTTCTGCTTGGTGGTGAGGACGTAGTTCGCCTTCTCCTGATCCGAACCCTCGAAGAGCTTTGAATTATAGGTGCACGGGCGATTAAGGAGCAAACTGAGAATCAGAAACAATTACGAGACACTGTGTGTTGGACACTGAAGGTAGCATCTCCCTGGTCATATGGGATTTTTGTTCAGCAGGATAATCTCCACATATAAACACCACTTTATGATTTCTGAAGTAAAAAGTTAACGATAGGCTATAAAGGAACCACAGCGCGGTCACATGACTTCACGTCGCCACCGCTAAGCTAAAGGTGGCTAATGTTGGGCTATAAAGGAACTACAGCACGGTCACATGACTTCACGTCACCACCGCTAAGCTAAAGGTGGCTAATGTTGGGCTATAAAGGAACTACAGCACGGTCACATTACATTACATTACATTACATTGCATTTAGCTGACGCTTTTATCCAAAGCGACTTACAATAAGTGCATTCGACCAGGAAGATACAACCTTTAAGAAAACAGAATCATATAAGTACATCAGGTTTCATAGAGCCAAACATTTCAAGTGCTACTCAACTGGCATTTAAAAAGCCAGCCCTTTATTAGTATATAAGTGCTTTGTTAGTAATTTTATCGCTCGAAGTGGAGTCTAAAGAGATGAGTTTTCAGTTTGCGTCGGAAGATGTGTAAGCTATCTGCTGTCCTGATTTCAATGGGGAGCTCATTCCACCATTTTGGAGCCAGGATAGCAAACCCACGTGTTTTTGCTGACGGGAACTTGGGTCCCCCTCGCAGTGCGGGTGCAGCGAGCTGTTTGGCTGA